TTATCGATGAGCTTAGCGTGATTATTCTGAAATTAACGATCTTGGTCTTGTCAGGAGCTGAATGAAAACCAGAGCACCCCCAAGAAGGAGAAGCAGGAGTGGCTCTCCAAACAGAAGGAGAACATCCAGCATTTCCAGGCGGAGGAGGAGGCCAACTTGCTGCGGCGCCAGAGGCAGTACTTGGAGCTGGAGTGCCGCCGCTTTAAGAGAAGAATGCTGCTTGGACGCCACAACCTGGAGCAGGACTTAGTCCGGGAGGTGAGAGGGCAGGGGAAGAGTGTAAACCCATGAACAGGTCAGCCCCAGATACACCATAAAGGACACCTGTGGCCAGCGGTGTTGCCTACCCTAGGGGAGTATTGCAAAAGAGTAGTTTGAAAGGGCACGTTGGGTGAAAACCAATATGCCGGTTCGAGGGATCATTCCTCGTCGAAGACTCCCCACTGTACGTTCTGGAGGGAGGTTTTAGCAAAAGCAAATGGATACTAGCAGACAGCACTAAAACCCTCTTGAGAAAACACTTGCTCCCATAGCTGAGGCTGCGATCTGTCATGGAGATCACAGAAGTCAGAGTCCACGATTTCCAGAGACCTCTGTGATGTCAGGCTACGATAGTGGGAGCTCCAAGCCTCAGTGAGCAGCATGGGCCCTGCAGTCTCAGCCACTGGGGCTCCCACTTTTAGGATATTTTTAGTAAAAGTCATGGAGAAAGCAGCGTGATGTGCTTTCATTTTGGTCACCTTTCCTGTTGTTTTATCCCTGATACCTAACACAAGTGAGGTGCAGAAGAACCCTGGTATGCCATCTAACTTGCATTGGGTGTCTTTTGGTAGGCCCATTGAAATGCACTGCAGGGACCATGATCCCAGTGAAGCCAGGTACACACACAACTGACAACTAACTCCCGTTCTCTGTGGCCCAGGAGCTGAACAAAAGGCAGACACAGAAGGACCTGGAGCACGCTATGTTGCTGCGGCAGCACGAGTCTATGCAAGAACTGGAGTTCCGCCACCTCAATACCATCCAGAAGATGCGTTGCGAGCTGATCCGGCTGCAGCACCAAACCGAGCTCACCAACCAGCTGGAGTACAACAAGCGGCGAGAGCGAGAGCTGAGACGGAAGCACGTCATGGAAGTGCGACAGCAGCCCAAGAGTCTGAAGGTATTGTGTGGCGTGGGCGTGATGGGCAGGGGAGTAACCAGGTCATGGGTTATGCGCCAAGGCACAGTGCGGGGCTGCTTTGCCCAACAGTTGCAGCTGCGTCACACCACCAGCCCAGCTTCATCCGTGGTTCCTGCGGGTCCTTCGCCCCGTTCTGTAACTGGACTACAGCCCTTTGCACCATCTGCCAGCTTCTCCTTTAAGGCCTATCAGGAAGCTCAGCTGTTCAAGGAGGCTTGTAATGACAAAGTACTGATCTTTATTTCATTAAACAAGCAGCACTTCCCAATGCCTGCATTACTTACCGAGGACACCGGATGATCTTACTGTCTTCCCTTTCCTCCATCCCCTGCCTCTGCCCACAGCCACCTCTTCTTCTGCCCTTAATTCAGATTGGGAAATTGTCAAGAGGAGGACTCTGGGCCAGCCCCTCTCAGGTGGAGGCTGTGGCCCTCCCTGGATTTGTTTTGAATAGGATTATGCGTATATGTGGAGTTCTGTAACCCATGGGATGTGGCCACGGTCTGCCCTCCCCTGTAGGCATCGCAGCACGTGGCTCCCAGTGTTGGGTGGTTGTTGCAGGCAGGCCCCTACCTCCACCATTCCCTCGCTTCTTGAAAGCGTGCTCTTCAGCAGTTCGGCTGCATGGCTGCCAAGTATGTGGGGCCTTCCCTGTGGAAACTGGTCAATTCGGTTAAAAATTGGATTGAATAAAAGTATGTGAGCCCCTCCCCCCAATAATCCACCCTTCAGTGGTGAAGCAATATTTTTAGAAGTCTAATTAGCAGGGCTCGCCGAACCGCGGTGAGCCCTGCTCGCCAGCTGTGCTGTCCGGCTCTTCCGGGTTGCAATCTACTCGCCACGGACGAGTAGATTGTATTTGTCGAGCCCTGCTAATTAGGCTGCAGCTCATGAACATAAAATGGGCACGCTCTCCGGCCAGAGACTACAGATATGCTTTCTGTAGTAGTGACAGTGGACAAATCAAAAGCACTAACAATGCAATATCAGAGGGAAGGAGAATCTAATCTTAACCCGTCTCACATTCCGCCTGAGCTTACACGGGTGTCTGAGCAGAACTGCCGTGCCTCTGTCGTGGAGGCTGTTAGCGTTTCCATTATAAGGCTCCTCCGTCGAAGTCAGTTGCCTCATCTGAAGTCCCTAGTGAATGGAATACAAGGCCCTTCCCAGAGCTGCTGACCCAGTTCCTGTGAGGAGGCAGACTCCGCCCAGGATTTCAGCTGTGCCCATAACACGGTGTTCTATGTGGCATACGGAGACCTTTGTTTTAGGTCTCGGGGAGCCATGGCTTGCCTTTCTAACTCAGCTCACACCAACTGTAGGTTGTTTTCTTGACAGAAATTGCCTGGAAAATCACCAGTTTGGAAATAGTCCTTCTGCAGTGAAAAGAAGTGATTTGTCAATCTCATAGTAATGTTGAATAGTTAAAAGCTGACTGCTGAGGGGAGCAGCTGATCACTGGGTTCAGAGTTGCCAAAGAGCTGGTACTGAACTAGCTGATGACTTCACAAAGGAGCTGCACAAAACGGAAGCAGCTGCATTAGGTTGTTCCATCAGACGTTAACATGAGTGACTTCTGCCTCCCCAAGGTGATACGACACAAGCAGACTGTGTCCATATTCACTCCCTCCCCGAAATGGGCCCCTGGTTGGCGGTTACTGCAGAGGGGTCAAAGGACACAGCTGGGTCATGGAGACAGGGCTCCCTTACAGGCTCCAGCACACTCACCGGGAGTCTGGGTATCTGAGACTGCTGGCTGTGCTCCACCTGCTCTGGGATTGATGAAGGACTTTGGGGTCTGGCGTGGTCAGCCCAGCACAATGCGTGTATGCGCAACACTCCTAACGACACCTGTTGGTGTAACATTGCTGCTTGCAGCCTGGTACCTTGTGTATCAGAACGGTTCACTGGCATTCACGTCCCCCCGCTTCTGAGCTGCGCGCCTGCGTTGTATTTGCCTGCAATTCTCATCTAGATTCTCTCTCCAGCAAGTAACGAGAAGCTGCCCTGCACTGAAAAGTGTCTGTTACAATTGCTCTGCGTGTCTTACTGGTAGCCCCTTTCTGGTAACTCGCAGCGCAAGGCCTGCCTGGAAACCTTCCCCTTCCCTTCTGTTTCCTGTTGTTAGAGCTTTGCCCTGCGAAGCTGTAAACAGAGTCTGGTGTCCCAGAAAAACATCACAGAAGGCGAGCAGAGATCCATTGTTACCCCCAGGCTGGCCTAAGCTTTTGATAGGCATGCCTGCCCTCCCAGCCTTTCCCTTTGGCACGGGCGGTGGGAGAGCCACCTGGAGGGCTTACTGCCAGGGAATGGCATTTTGGTACAAGTGTCGTGCCTGTGTCTGGGCCGCACCAGGGAGTCAGGGTGTTCTTTGGAAAGCAGGCCAGGCTTTCTCAGCTGTGGCCACAGCCTCTGAGGCAGTAACTTGCAGGAGGGTAGGAGCAGTGGCCGCTCCCCCTGGGTCACCAGCAGGGGTTGGGTCTGCTCCCTCCGGAGCCACTAATGGAGCAGACAGCCATTATGTTTCCCACCTTCCCATGGGCGGTGAGGCTCAGGCTTCCGGCTTCAGCCTTGGGGTGGCAGGCAGCAGGCTACAGTTGTGGGGTTTTAGGCTGTGGGCCTGGACCTCCGCCACAGATGTTGGCCTTTGGCCCATCCCCTCAGTTCCCCACATCACTCCTGGCTCCTGCTATCTTCCCAGCTCCCCATCCCCTCTGGCCCTTGTCGTCTCCCTACCCGCTTCCACGTCCAGGACTTCACTTGCCAGGGCTGAATGAGTCTACTGTGACGAAGGGTGTTAGCAAGCCCACACGTTACGTTTCACAGCAGCAGCCTGACTAGCTAGCAAGGTCTTAAAAATGGCAACCAGAACAATGACAAAAAGCCAAGCCCCTGCACAGCACCTTTCCATTTGGGTCCAGTAAAGAATAGAAACAACTGTACATTGTTTTTGTTATGGGATCTGCCAAAACCTCTCCATACATCCGTTATGGACGTGTATGTGTGCCTGTTTCTTAGTTTTCTGCCAGAGGTTAGTTAAATAGTTTAGGAAAAATTGTCAGAGCGGCTGCCAGCAAGAGTTGGTGGCCCTACTCCGAGACCACAGTGAGGTATTAAGGACATGTAGAACAGGGCTTGAGCTATTTTATGCTCTCACTAGACCTTTCTAGGTAGCCACAATGAGGTGTTTTATCTGCCTCTTTAAGGCAGCTGAAGCAATGCCACCAGTGTTAGTGGAACGGTTACAGGGAGGTGCTAATAAAGCAGCCGTCTTCCCTATCCAGATGCCAGGGCTTCTCCATGGAGCGGGGCAGGAATTCATTCCCACACCCACGTGCTAGTGCTACAGCACTTGAACCAAGCAGGGACTGACTGTGCTCGCATTGCCATTGCTTGAAATCTCCAGTTTTGTTCCCAGCGTTTCTGCGCTTCTCTAGTCTGGCAGAGGCTGGGAAAGTCTCTGGGGTTAATTTTCCTTCCTTTGACTGAACCCCCATGTTGCTTAGCTGTGACATCTCAGCTGCTCGCCCTGCTGCTCCGTGATGGCCAAACAGAATCCAAGCCAGTTCTCAGCTGGAAGGACGGTGACCGCAATAGGAATTGTGTAGCACCTGCCAGCCCAGGAGCTCAAAGCACTTCCCAGGTTCCTTGCGAGGCGCAGAAGGAGGAACCAGATGTGGACAATGACACACAGAGAGAATTAATTTACCCCAAGTCACACAGCAAGTCAGTAGCAAATCCAGGTTCCCAAGCACTGAGACTTCTTCACAAGAGACAGAGCTTTGGGTGCAAAAGGAAAGAACAGATAAGGCCCCAGAACTCCCGCAGGTACCCGAGGGAGTGGGTGTTTGTGTATTGGAGTGTGTGTTAGGTTGGGCATGATACTACTACATATGATGACCCCCTCATCCAGATGTAAAATGTGAGTCTCTTGCCATAAAAGTAAGATCGCCAAATTGGCACTAGTCAGAGTTTCCTCAGTAAAATAAATGCTTTACTGCAAATCCTTACAAGTCGGGTCCAAACACCAAAGGTTAAAGCACAAATTTCTGTCATCAAATCCTACATCAAAGAAGATCTCTGTGCACACAAGCCAGTCCTACCTACTCAGGACCAGCCATGTGGAAGTAAGGCTGTAGCCACTAATAACTGTTCACCCTATCACCCGAGGAGTCTGCTTGAAAAGCCACACTCAGGGTTGGATGTGGTCCAGTGGTAAATGGGCCCCTTTGTGTAGTGGCAGCTGTATGGAGTCTGGAGCTTTGTTAGGAAAGTGTTGTCTGGAGTCTAATTGTTTTGCACACGCACCACGTGTAACTAGCAAACTGTCAAAGCAGCTGCAGCAATGTGATCTTTGTCTCATGCATGTTCACCATGACGTTGCGCACTTTTTGTATTCATATGCATTTGTGGGATTTGTGACCTCGTTCCCTTATGTGTGGAATGAAATATCACTGAATATTTTGCTTCCATCTTTGACGTGTACTGGGTTTTCCTTTGTGTCTCTAGTCTAAAGAACTACAGATAAAGAAGCAGTTTCAGGACACATGCAAGATCCAAACCAGACAGTACAAAGCACTGCGAAATCACCTGCTGGAAACCACACCAAAGAGTGAACACAAAGCTGTCCTGAAGCGGCTCAAGGAAGAGCAGACGCGGAAACTGGCCATCCTAGCAGAGCAGTATGATCACAGCATCAATGAAATGCTCTCCACGCAAGCTGTGAGTTGTCTCTGTGCTGAGCCAAATGGGTCAGTTTGCATGTTGACCTGAAGTCATCCTGAGAGCAGGGTTGTTTTCTTCCTTTGCCCCACCTGCACCACCCAGATTCAGATCCCAGGCTAGTCCTTCCTCCCCTGCTGCAGAAGCAGCCTTCAAATCCAGAGCAAATACTCACTGGCCACTTCAGTCACTGCTGCATTCCCGGGACAGCAAGTGGGTCCTTGGAATCCGAGGGCTGCTTTTGCACCAAGCCTGCATCTCTGGAAAGGGCTGCTCCTTGCGGAGCACCATTGTGCTACGTTCAGTCGCTAGGGTTGAGAGGCATTGATGCTACTTGCCAAGTGTGTCCCCTCCTGGTGACCGTGCCCTAGAAAGGTGGAAAGCTTCTGGCTAGAAGCACATGTTGAAAGCTTTGTAAATTCCATGTTAGCCAATAGCCGAAGGCCCCTTTGGGGAGGGATCAGCAGATGTGCGCTCCCAGCTAACTGTAACTGCTAGTTCTGGGCCCCAGCCACTGTCTGCGTTTCCTGTTCATTCTCCTCTTTCATTCATTCTTCTCTATTTGCCTTTGCTCAGCCTCCTCCCTCATCCCACCTCTCTCAGAAGCTTATGCTGTTTGTGCTCAGCAAGGGCGTAGTGATTGCTCCCTGGGCTGAGCCCTGTAAATCTTCTTCCTGGGCGGAGTATGTGGGAGCAGAGACTAGAAGTTTGGATTAGCAAGTTCCTCCTGGAGCGGGAAGGGAAGCAAGATGTTGCCGGCTGCTCACAACGCACACTTGTGAGGGGGCTGTTAAGAAGGGTGTATGCAGCTTTGCGTGCCGGGTAGGCAGCGCACGGCTGTGTAACTGGGGTTGGGCTGTTAGCTGGGCCACTTGTTACTGCTTTGCATTGGCAGGGAGATGTGCTAGGAGCTCTGTCCTGTCTTTAGCTAGGTTTCTGTGCAGATTTCCAGAAAATCTGCATGGGAAATTGGCTTTCCATGAATCCACTTGTGTACCGCACCGGAGAACTTCTTCCTCTGACAAAAGACGGAGCCGTAGATGTTAGAGCCATGTAGCCAGCCTGCCGCTCTCCCTCTAGGAGCCAGGGCTGTTTCCATACCATCTTGCTGGCGCCAGTGTTTGTCACCATGGGTTCCCCGTGCACTGGTGGGATACAATAGGAAGCAATTGTATTTCTAAGAAACAAATGGTTTCCCTGCACTGTGTGTCACGAGTGGCTGCCCCACAGTGAAACATCTCTATTGTCTTCCTCCGCACAGCTGCGTTTGGACGAGGCGCAGGAAGCGGAGTGCCAGGTTTTGAAGATGCAGCTGCAGCAGGAACTGGAGCTGCTGAATGCGTATCAGAGTAAAATCAAGATGCAGGCGGAGGCCCAGCACGATCGGGAGTTGCGTGAACTAGAACAGAGGGTGTCCCTGCGCAGGGCCCTTCTGGAGCAGAAGGTAAGGGCGGCTGCGGGGATGGCCGTGGGAGCAGCAGTTGGCATTGGCCATGGTGCAGGAGTTGGAAGATGAAAAGCTGATGTTAATGGGGAAAGGGTGTAGTCCTGGTTTTGAGCCTTCCCTGGGCGCTCACCTGGCAGGCCGAATGGTGTCCTGCTGGTCAGAGCTACGCAGTCTCTGAGGAGCTTTCGTCCCATCCCGATGGCGGCAGAGGGAGTGGGGCCCTGGCCTCCCCTAGGTGACCATGCCATGGCAGCTCGTTGCAGGGCAGGGGGGGAGAGTGCCTGGATCATGGGTGCTGAAAGGGAAGTGCTCTGTGTGGTGTGCCGTGACCAGCACCGCCCACTGCCTGGGCTGCAGGGCTGTGTCCACTTCTAGCAGAGGGCGAGGAGGCTGCTGCGGGAGCGGCGAAGGGAAAATGCTGCACTCTCTCCATGGTCCCTGAGCAGGGGGCTCTCCCCAAGCTCAGGAGAGGGCAGAAGTAACACAGTGCAGCAGCGTCTGCACAGGTCTCAAGAATCTGAGGAATGATGTGGCACAGGAGGGTAGAGGGACAGCACAGATGTGTGATGCGATGCCACCCAAACCGGGAATGTTTCACGCCATTATTAGTCTCTGAAGATCCAGCAGAGTTGCCCCATAGAAGGACGTTGAGTAAAGCTGGACAGCCATTGAGAAGAAACATGATGATCAAATCCTAGTTAACAAGTCCAGAGGTCTGACCTGCGGCCCATTAGCAGCCAGACACCGAGGGTACGTCTGCACAGCACGCTGTTTGGAAATCACTTAGTCCGTGGCTACATAGCAGGCAGTTATTTCGAAATACTCCCGAGCTGGAGGACTGCTCACTCCGACTCCTGTAACCCCCATTGTACGAGGAGTAAGGAGAGTTGGAGGAAGAGGGCTCCATTCGAAATACCTGCTGTGTAGACGCTCCCTTCTTCAAAATAAGCTGTGCGATGGACGTAGCTCAATTTGCGTAGCTTCTTTCGAGTGTGGACGCACCCTGAACTCCAGAGTGTGGCACAGAATTGTTTACCCCAGCAAGCAGGCCTCCCCGTGCTGCACAGATCCGTGCGGTGCCAGAGCAGTGTACTAAGCACGTCACTGCAAAGGGAAATACGCACTTGTCTTTCATCCTCCCCTGCCGACTCGCCTGTGGGGTGATGCTGCTGCATTTACAGGGCACTGGGACAACTAGTCGGTGATAGCTGCATCTGCTGATCCTCACGGCCCCTTCCCAGGTCACTGAAGCTTCACCAGTGACCGAGTCTGCGAAACCCAAGTTCCCACGTCGGACTCTTGCCACAGGGTTACGTTTGTGAGAGTCCCATTTAAAAAAGTCAATTTGTAAACCTCGCCGTTTGCAGCCCAGCGGCTACCTTGCAAACTGCCTTGGTGTGACGGTTTGTATGACAGTTACTGCTGCCTAGTGACCCAGCCTGACGCAGCGCTTGGGAGCAGAGTCTGTTGCCGGTCCCGTGGCTTCCTGATGCAGCACTGGGCATAGCCGAGACGTTCTGGCCCAAAGTGACAGAGCGCACCGAGACCAGTGATGTAAAGGAAGACAGATTAGCCAAAAATGAATTCAGTGCAAATCTTTCACCTGGGGATCTGCTTTTGTGCAGGGCCTGGGAAGCCTTGCTGAGCACAATGCAAATGTTTTTGTGTAATTCAGGTTTTTTTAAAGGAACCTGAATATCAGTGTTTGACAAAACAAGGTTGTTCTTCCCTGGCATTTGCCTAAAAGCCACGCAGCAGAGCCAGCTGGCTGCCTCTCTAGCCTAAGCTTTGTGCACAGGTTAGATCTCGTGCCTCAGCAGGGCTCTCACGGCTTCTCAAAGCAGCAAGAAATCAGCACCATGGGCGCAGGCAGCGTCCGGACCCCAGAGGGTGACGGTGATGACTCACGCTGGTGTAGGTTGTTTCCTGAATTCTGGGTTAAACTACTTCACATGTTCCCCAGCAAAAGGGCCTGAGAGCCCCCATAAGCAAATGAGTGTTAGCATCCAATACTCTGAAGCCCTGCCATCTCCTCTCGGTGAATAGAGAGTGTCCCATATCGCAGGGTTGCTGTTGGCAGAAGCGGAGCTGTCAGCCTGCAAACACAGTTAAAGCAAAGTCTGTTTCTGATGGTTTTTCTTTCCTTCACTCTTGGGGACCAAGCCCAGTGCTAGCTCTTCGGTGCACGGAGACGTCATGGAGTAATTCCTTGGCTTGAGGGTCTAACCCCGGAAGCTTCAGCAAGAGCCAGATAGTAAATCACAGGCCAAAATTCAGCCCTGCTCAGGGGGCCAGGAGGAGGCTTATGCAACATATTCCCTGTCCCTCACCAGCTGATGCTGAGACCTTGGCAAGGGCCATTAAAAGGTGATTTGGGATGGTTGTACTGAAGTGAGGCAGTGTCGTATCAAGGGATGGAAATACTAGCTCAGCTGGTGGTTCGCAAGTCATCCCGCTGATAGCCTGCCCCGAACGCAGAGAGCTCTCCACTGATGTTACTGTTTGGGTTTGGAAGGAGGAAGAAGCCCTGCTGGTCGCATGGCAGAGAAGGCAGCAGGGCAGTGAGGCAGTAGGAACCAATCTAGGAAAGCAGTAAGGTCAGTGTGGGGAGCACAGACTCCTAGAATCCTACCACTGGAAGGGACCCCAAAGGTCATTTCCTGTCCTCACGGCAGGACCAAGCACTGCCCAGATCATAAGCCAAAGCCAACTGGAACAGTGGCTCTGAAAGGGAAATGGGGCAGGTCCGTTAGTTAATTGCCGTTCTGGGAGTTTAAAACAAACAAAAGGAAGTTTTTCTTCTCTCCGCACACAGTCAACCTGTGGAACTCCTTGCCAGAGGATGTGGTGAAGGCTAGGACTTCAACAGGGTTAAAAGAGCTGATCAATTCATGGAGGTTAGGTCCATCAATAGCTATTAGCCAGGATGGGTAGGAATGGTGTCCCTAACCTCTGTTTCTCTGGAGGTGGGTGACAGGGGGGGAATCCTGTGAGAATTCCCTGTTGTGTTCCCTCCCTCTGGGGCATCTGGTATTGGCCACTGTTGGCAGACAGGACACTGGGTCTGATGGACTGTTGGTCTGACCCAGTCTGACTGCTCTTATGTTCGAGTTGTGGCCACTAGGTTCAGCTGCCAACAGCACAGACCAGCTGATGCTGCATTGACAGGGCCTTCTCCTCAAAGCACCTAGTTACTAAGTCAGGGGCTGGGCAGCAGATTTTGCTTCTGCATCTGCGGTTTGAAATCTGAGCCGCTGGAGACACAGTTTCAGCTTTGTATTTGAATCCCGAAAGCCCCGATGCAAGCTGTGAAACACCTGGAAAGAGGATGGCGGAACCCTGCCAGGGCTTCAGTCCTGCTGTGTCGTCGGGATGTTAAATTTTGATGAACTAATCGAATAGTCGGTGGGATTTCCATCGACTGTTCGGTTAGTCGATAAGGACTAGCACGGCGTCTTGCCTTTGAAATGTACGAGAGCCCCAGCAGGGACCCTTGTGCGTTCCAAAGGTTGAAATGCTGGGTGGAGCTTGGGGCCAGCGGGGAATCCTGCTGGCCCTGGGCTCCACGCGGGCGCGTCGGCTTTGAAATGGACTCTTCTACATTTCAAAGGTGGAACGCTGCTGCTGCGCCTCTCCCCCTCCCATGGAGTTGAGGGAACCGGCTTTTAAGCCAGCTGCCCCCAGCATCCACTCCTCTTCCCCCACCGCCGCTGCCTCTTTGTGATGGAGGCAGTAAGGGGGAAGTGACTAGTCAATTAGTTGCTTACATCCCCCCAGTGCAGCCCCTCCTCCGTTTCTCCACTCCTCTTCCCCCACCGCCGCTGCCTCTTTGTGATGGAGGCAGTAAGGGGGAAGTGACTAGTCAATTAGTTGCTTACATCCCCCCAGTGCAGCCCCTCCTCCGTTTCTGTGCACATGCCAGAGATTGCTAGTTTGCATTCAGAACGGCGAGGGTGCACCTGCCCTCTGCTGCTGAGTGCCTCTTTGCTCACCAACGGAGGGTCCGGCCCCGGGAACTCAGCATTGCCGTGTCTCTCTAGCGGAGTGCCGCTGCTACAGACTCCCTTCTCTTTCCTTCCCTCAGATTGAGGAGGAGATGCTGGCCTTGCAGAATGAGCGCACCGAACGGATACGAAGCCTGCTGGAGCGCCAAGCCCGCGAGATCGAAGCCTTTGATTCGGAAAGCATGAGGCTAGGTTTCAGTAACATGGTTCTGTCTAATCTCTCCCCCGAGGCGTTCAGCCACAGCTACCCGGGAGCTTCTGGCTGGTCCCACAATCCTCCAGGGGGTGCAGGACCTCACTGGGGTCATCCCATGGGTGGCCCACCACAAGCTTGGGGCCATCCAATGCAAGGTGGACCCCAGCCATGGGGTCACCCCTCAGGGCCCATGCAAGGGGTACCTCGAGGTAGTGGTATAGGGGTCCGCAACAGCCCCCAGGCTCTGAGGCGGACAGCTTCTGGGGGACGGCCGGAGCAGGGCATGAGCAGGAGCACAAGTGTTACTTCACAAATATCCAATGGGTCACACATGTCTTACACATAACTTAACCCAGGCCTGAGGGTGGCAATTCCACTGAAGCGGTCTGCCGACAGAAACTGCCTACAGGTGCAGCCTCCTCTCCGTGGGACGCTGGGTGGCCATGGAGTCTCGTTCATTCTGTAAAGCACTCTGTTTTGTGTTTACTAACTGGGATGTCATAGTATTTGGCTGCAGGGTTTGGGGGCTTTAATGTTTGTTTTGGGGGGGAATGGGACATATGCAACTAGGCAGAGAAGTTGGCTGCCGGTTAAGGCGTTCGGGCTGCACAAGGGCCTCCGAGCGCTGTCATCACCCGTCCCTGCAGAACGATGGGACGCGCTTAAACCTTCGTTCGTGTGCAAACAGCCTGCCTGCCAGCCACCTGAGCAGATGAGGTGAGCTGAAAATAAGTCCCTCTCTAGCAGAGGAGCAGCTGTATTTCCTGCCCCTTTGATTGATCACCATGAAATTGGCCCCCTTTCCGCGTGGATCCTCAGGAGAAGGGCTTAAAGGAACTGTGGGCGAGGGGAAAGGCTTTGCCTGCTCGGGTGGCAGGGATCAACACGGTCCCTTGCCCCCCAAGTGCCCGCTCTCCGTTGCACTAAGAGGCGAGCATTCCCCGAGGGCATAGCGCCGCTTCAGTAGACGTGTGTGGGGGGGTGAAAATGTTTAAAATCCAGCCTAGCATCTTAGCCCTCCCCTGGCCGGGCCAGTGGCAGGGGCTCATGCTTTGCAGGCCGTTGGGAAGAAGAGTATCACTAATGCACTTGTGTAGCTAATACTGTGACATCTCACCTTAGCTAAGCAGCTGAATAATTCTTGGACCCCTGCATCCTTCTTTTGCTCTGTTCTTCAGGACCCTTAGACTTACAGCCAGTCAGCCTGGAATGCCAGAGGTCTTCTGAAAGATGCCATAGTCACACAATGCCATTGGTCGGGGGTTTCATTCCTACACTGCACACCCATTTATTACCTTTGGGCTTGTTGCAGTTTTCTGTTTACCTGTCCGCTGTAGCCGACTGTTTAAATGTTTAGTTGCCATAGTATACCAGGAGGAGCTGAGCCAATGACTCTACGAGCTGCTGACTAACCCACATCACTGCTGTAGATCTTGCCGCATGTGAGGCTCCTTTCTGTCGTTTTGGGTGCCGCAGTACTTTTCAGCTTTACAGTCCAGGGAGACTCTGGGATCAGTTGGCAGCACGTCACCCCACGCGTAGGAGGCGCTATTTTCGGGCAGCTCTCTTTGCAGAGCCGCTGTACTACTGAAAGGGAGCAAGAGGCTGGAAGTAAAGCCGGGAGTCTGCGAATAAATGGAATGACTTTTGTGGCTACGTAGCAACCTTGACTGCTGGAAGTGGGAGGTGTCGTGAAAGACTAGGATGAATGAGGGGGTGTTTGGGCCCAGCCAGCACCGTGAGGTGAAGATGAGAGCAGATAGCTTAAGCTTGGCTTAAGGTAAAGATTTTCTTTCTGGGGACTGGCCAGCCAGAGTTCTTTCTTTGTAAATGACTTTCCTTGCACACTAATCATCTTGAAGAAAACACTAGCTGCTAACTCTAGGGTTTGCCTTTACCGTGTTTATAGGGCTCAGAAGCAAGGTTTTCCAAATGCCTTTGTCCATGTGACACATTTATATAGAATACTCCAGTGTCTCGCTGCTGCTCAGTTTTCTCAGCAATGTGACATTCTTAACTAAATTAAAATTCACTCCAGATCCTTGACTCTCAGCCAGTGTGTGATGAATCCAAACGTCAGGATTTCCAGTGTCTTGATATAGCATATCACTCCGAACAAAGACGGACACTATACCAAAACATAAACCTTTGACAGAGCCTTGTAGTATTAACAGTGTGTGCTGGAGTCTGGGAAGAGGCAGAGGATATTCCTGTTGGTTACCCTGTAGAACAGAACGTTTGGGACAAAGATGAATTCACTGACTGACCCCCTGTTCCCCTTGATATACATCTCTGTGTGGGGTGGGTGTTTTCTCTTCTAGCTGTTCTCTTGCATTCAAATGTTGATCAAATGAAATTAAGGAAAATCACCTTCATTTTCCTATTTTAAGAAGAAAAAAAAAGCCAAAAACCTACATTGGTTCTTACCACCTTGGTGTGGAGCATGGTGCTAATATACAAAGTTTAGGAGCTCTTGACTCCCCATAATCTCAACAGCAGCACCAATTGGCACTGTACTTCACAATTCAGGAGGTTTGTTCTTTTGCTTCTGAGATGGTTTGAATTTGGCCAAAGTCTCTGGTTTAAATTGAGTGATTTCAGGAGCGTTCCCTCAAGCCATCTGTTTGTAATGTAAAGCGTCACTGAATGTGGGACTCAAATGATGTCGGTCCCCTATTGGCTTTTTTGTATCCAAAACAATTGTGTGGTGCCCATTTTACATGTATATCATGTGCAGGCTCATTCCAGTGAGTTAATATTTAAATTAAAATAGTTTGCAAAAACTGATTCAGATCAACTGATCTAAATGTGTGTGTCTCTGTGTGTACATGAGGGGACCAGAAGCTGCCTTCCAAATGAGTTTGATCTCAAGAGATGTCTCCCATTTACTGAGCTGTAATCTGTGGGAATTGCTTCCTATTGTGTGGTGGAGGTATGTGAGGAGGTAAATTAGTGTCTGTATAATGTATATGTTACAGATATCATATATCTCACATCAGTATCTTTGTGAGATATATGTATAAATAGAAAATCAAAATATTCCAGAGACGCAAATGCTTTCTGAATCAGTTTGCAAACTCCATTTTTCAAACTAAAACCAACTACTGCACACTGTTCTGTACCCCTCGTGCCACCACGCTCTTCTGTGCCTGCGCACGCCAGCACACTGTGCTGCGCTCACTCGGCCCCAGCCAGGGCGTTCCGCACACCGTGGCCTGCACGTTGAGCACTACTCCCAGGGGCTCAGCACGAGGGCTAGTTATTCTGGGTGCTTGGGTTCCCCCCTTTCTCAGACCTTACAGTTTAGGCCAGAAGGGCCGGAGCAGGGGCGTTGGCAGTTTTCACCTCTCGAATCGTGTGACGCTTCTTTGGGTTTTGCCAATCACACTCAGCAGCAGGCCCCACCTGTACTTGGTTGCGATTTCTGGAACACAGGCCACGTCTCCCATCCCCACTGAATTCCTTGTGCACAAGACTGGAGCTTTCACCTGCATTCACTCAAACGCTGGCCGCATCACGGGGTTGGAAAACAAGCCTGGTACCGTACAGTAGGAAAGCATTGACTGGAGAAGTCCCTGCGGACGTTTCTTACCTGTAAGTCCTGCCTTGGGGACAGACACAAGCAAGTGGCTGTGCTTTCAGGGAATTTGTATTGCACGCTGCCGGTAGAACCTGCACAGAGTACACGGTGATGGACCTGAAATAATACTGCTTACTGTCCCTGAGGAGGGGGAAAGGGGCCTGTTGGACTCCAAACCTCGATCCTGTCCATGCAGCTTTCATAGGTGGAAATAAATTGTATTCTACCAGCATCGGCCATTGCTCTGTTAATACGCACATCTCCCTGGAGAGCTGTCGACTGGTAGCTCCGTGTATATTTACGTGCTGTGTGAACGCGCACTTGCAACTCGTGCTGTGCATTTCTGGCCGTACACTTAGCGCTCCCTCCTCTGGCAAGCTGCCGGGACAGTTTGGGCAGCAGGGCTGTGGATGTGAGCAGAGGTGCGTGAGGGTTGAATGGGAGACGGCAAGCCCCGTGCTTTGCAGGAGGGTGGGTAGGCCCATTGCTGCTGCGGCCGCCCGGCGGAGGGAGAGCTCGCAAGGGGTACAGGAGAGTCGGAAGGCAGCACAGAAAGCAGGGTGCGTAGCACTGTGAAAGGGGGGTGGGCGCCACGGAGGCTATATGCGGGATGCTTGGAGTCCGTGGTACGTCGGAGTGAAATGCCCAACATACCAGGGGTGGCTCATCTCAAAAGTGGAAACTTGTCTACATTGGGGGGGGTCTGGCTGCCATCTAAGCACGGCTCTCAGGACCTTTGTTGTTCCCTGTGCTTTCCACTAAGGCCAACATGAGCTCACACTGTGAAGTTATTTCCTTACCCGTGTCCCTGCCCAGTCTCTGGAATGAAAGAGTTCCCCATCCCTGGTGGGAGCAGCAAGGTTTTCTTCCTTGACACCAGTTCTGTGAGCCCACGTAATGCACCGCGTCCTCTAGGAATGGGGTAACCGCTGGACAGAGCCAGGGCTAAGAATGTGGTCTTCTAGGCCTGGAAACCTCTCCTCGCCCCACCTGCCCTGGTAGAGGGGCTTGGTTCCCGCATGTTTCAGGGCACAGTTGCACAAGCTGAAGGACGGGCAGTTCCTTGGGTGGGGGGGAACGTTCCTGCAGTTGCAGACCTCACTAGCATAGCAGCGTGCCCCGTGTAGGGGTGTCGTGGGGGGTGCACGCGCTCATGGCAGTGGTGTGTACATATTGAAAGGAAGCCCCCAAACTCCATTCTAGTGACTTCCGCTTGCTCGGCAGGGTGGCTTCTTTAGGAGCAGGTTTGTAGCCTTCCTCTTTCAGTGTCTCTAGCGAGCTTCTGGCTTCCCTCTAGGAGTGTGTTTTAGACCTGTCCGTGTGGCTGGTTTAAAGCGCATGGGATGGATTCACTCCATGCTCCTCTGGACCAGTCAGACCGGGAGCTTGGAAGTGGGTTTTGTGTCCTAATAAAAAGGTTGGTGCTTCCGCAGGGACTTGGGACTGGTGCCTCCCTCGCTGTGTCTGAGTTTGCGCTGTCAGGTTCGTTTCCCCGGGAGCCAGGCTGTGCGTAGAGGTGCCAGGGGACTGTCTGATTTGGGAAGCAGACAGCAGATTTTGTGATTTTATTAAAACATTATCCCCAGAAAAGAGCTGGGCACCGGCAACCCTGGTTCCTGTTGTGTAATGGAGCCCAGCCAGTCAGGCCTGTCAGGGATAGGTGCCTGGGATACCCCCATCCCCGGTCCTTGGCTGAATAACACACCAGCAAACAGGCCCCTGAGCCAAGCTGCGCGCCTCGGAATGCTTGCACTTTTGGTGGTCTGTTTACCCACCTATCTGCTATCTAGCCATGTTCTGTACATCCCAGGTTCGCCCCTCTGCATAGAGCCAGGAAGTCCCTAGGTTGGCTGCCAGCACAAGGGGACGTAACCACCTCCCGATGTGCACAAAATCGGGGGTCTCTGGTGTCCCCCGATCACCCTTCCCAGGACGGGTACCTCAGAACATGCACCATTCGCGTTTTCACTGACAACAGGTTTAATGATTGTGAGTGAAAATATTGTAATTATCTGTAAATATGTAGGGAACCAATTGACCTAGTTCCTGTGTTTGTAAAGTTTTTGTACTAAAGTTTATAGATGCAGTATGTGCCAACGAGAGAGGGGCTGCTGTCACGGCCCGTCGTAGCCAAGTCTGCATCTAACCCCTTCAGTTGTCTGAGAGACTGTAAGGATTCCTGCTTCTATACTAGCATGGGGCTTGGGGGGTCGGGGAGAAGAACGGCTCAACTTGCTGTCCTGGTGCAAAGGCTTCTGGCGCTAACCAAACAGCATGGACCCCGCTCTTTTCTCTGTCCCTTGTCAGCTGGGCGCTCTGCGGTTTAGAGGTGCGCGCGCAAAACCTCTGCCCTTTCCGCCCGTCTGAGTGCACAGGACAGACGTGTGGGCGTGGGGCAGAACCTCACCTCAACTGAGGCCAAACCCTCCCTGTCCGTTTGAGTCGCACCCTTTTATTTGATCTACAGAATTGTACAGAGAGTAGGTCCTCCCCAGAAGGGATTTGGTGCCAGGGTAATGGAAAGAGCATGCTAAGCATGGGAGAAGAAACGAACGCCATGAAGCTGGTTGCCTGCTTTTAGTGCCAGTCTAGCCCATTTCTATGGCAACTGCACTCAGGACAGGAGCACACCGATGTGAATGAACTGAAGTATGAAATCAGTGCTTTTGCATGGCTTGGCATCAGTGTTACAAGCATTGGAGGCAAATCCCGATTAGAAACGGTCATGTGCGTACGGTTCCCGGGACTAGATGCATTGCCGGGGCGTGGGGCGTGCTCCCCCAAAGTGCATGTGGCCACGGAGTGGGAAAGGCAAGGCGGGGGGACGGTTCTCAGGTGTTTGAGATGCAGGCCACAGCTGGCTTGCATTGTCGTCTTGGCTTTCAATGTCCATTACTAAAAGAGAGGGGTTTCTCTTGGACTGCATCTGAATTAAGCCATCTGTCACCCCGCACTTGTCCCACCTTCCCTGGGTATCTTGTGGCACAGGCTACTCTCCAGCCCTGGGATAGCTCTGGCAGCTAGAGGGCTACAAGCGAAGTGAACGTCAGGCTGACTAGAGAGACCAGTGGTTGGAAGGATCCTTGGAGGTGCTTGTGATGTGAATTCTCATTCAAGATGCTGACAGTCTCGGGAGGGGGTTTCCCGGAGATGGAGAGGGTGTGTGTGTGTGTGGTGAATGCGGTTTCTGGCAAACAAAACCACCTGCTTCTTTTCTTCCCTTTTCTCCTAACCCCTCTCCACTCTCAGCCAGGCTTGCTTGGAACAGGGACACTTTATCTGACCAAACCAACTCAAAGGAGGGGTGGGTCTGATGTAAATAATTAACATTACAAATAAAGTAGAGGGCATCTGACATACCCGAAAGGCTATCCCGACTTGAAAATTGTAAATGCTGAAGAAGTTTTTATTAACATTTGGATTTCTCAAATTCCTATTTATGTTGTTCCATGGAAATCATTAACACATTGAAAACACTTACGAAAAAGCCAGATTACCGTGAGGATTTTAGCTGTCAGAACTCCCTTGGTTTGTTATACAGGAGCACAGCATAACATGCATTAAGAAGGGTAGGAGAAGGCTGTGTGAGGTGTGTATAGTGTATATTTTTTAAAATAGCTTGCTTGTATTGTGAAGACTTTAAAGACGAACTTGAGAATTCTAACATAACTATTAACAAATTTAACATAAGTTATCCCACTGGGTTCGGAGCATCTTGAATGTATAATCTTTTTGTAACCCAGAATGATTTATTCTTCTACCACTCAGCCAGACAGCTTATTTATATGTTTAATTTTGTATATCACTTTCCCTTTTGTTCTCATGCTTCCCAGCATGCTTCTGCTTGTTTGGCAGTTTGCACAAGTATCTGTGTAAACTAAAAACTTTTAACTTGAACCTGGCATTTCCACTTTCTTGGATTTTCTTCCTCCACTGTTTTGGGGGGTAACTGGGAGGAGGGGGGGTGTTTTCCATGTGCAGCTTCTGGGCAAATGCCTGGTCTTTTGCCAGTCATCTAAAGTGCTTCACTGTCAGTTGCTTTAAAAGAAAATGAAAATGTCACCTTATCAGTTCTAGGGAATGCCTGGGGAGGAGGCAAGTGCAGACCTGTAGGAGCACAAACCTGGCGCTGGTTGCAGACAAAGGCCACACTTGGCTTGAACTCGGCAGCTGCAGAGCAATGTGAAGTCCCACATGGCCCTGACATGGGCACCGCTGCTGTAGTAGCTCTGACGGAAGGGCGGCGGCCTGTAGCCAGGAATAACTGGTCCCCCTCGGCTGCCCCAGCTCTCAGCTCTGCACACTGCCCATGGGGCCGGGCCCCCCGACTGCCTGCCTGCTCATGGGTGGGGAAAGAGGGATGCTCACAGACATTATTGAATGTTTGCTTCCCTCCCCCTTCTCCTGCTCTCCCCCCAGCACCCCAACAACTTTGAGTACACGACCAAGGGGTGTAAATGTGGCTTTAGCAGAGCAAGGCCAGGAGCTGGACATCGCTTTATCAGGGCTGGGACTGCCATTAACCTGAACAGAAGCCTGAGTCTCACAGGCCTGGATCGCCATGGGCTAAGCCATAGATATTGGACTCCTCCCTGCTCCTGTGTGAGCACCAGCTGGGATGGGTGAGTCTACAGGTTTGCATTTTCCTTTTGGTAGAAAATGCCACGCGCACTAACTGGTAAGGCTTGTACAGTACATTGTCAGTATTCTGGTATTCTGGTTCAACATACATTAGCGCTCATATATAACTGTATTAATTGTATAGATTGTGCATTTAAAGCTGTTACCAAGTTGTCAGAAAACAAGAGAAGAGAAAATAAGGTCGTATGTAATATTTTGTTTGTAAGTATCCTTTGTACCATAGCAAAGGAAATGTTAAAAAATCAACTGTAATAAAGTAATTTTAGTAGATGGCGTGTCAGCTTTGGTTTTTGAAAGGGTGGGGCTAAGGGTCAGGGCATGGGCTTCGTGGCACCACTCAGCACCAGTCCTTCTGCATGATGGAGATTACGGTGGCGGCAGGGGCCTGCGCGGGCTGGCCGGTGAGGAGTCTCCGAAACGGCAGGTGTGCTGGTGGTGTTTCCTAGGCTCGCTTCGCCATGGCCGGCCCTGCATTAGTGCACAGCTGGGTCCTAGGAACACACCTGTCCTGCAGGCTTTCGACTGTCTGCGTCTGTGGGGAGGGGCCTTTGTGTGCTGGAGATACTGGTGTGAGCGCACAAGAGGACAGGGGAAGGTTGCATGAGCCTGGGTGCTGCTGGGCTTCTCGAATGGGAGCTGCCTGGCTCTTGGACAGCTGCTCCCAGGGACGCTGTCCTGAAGCGTCTGCTACAGGGACATGCCAGGCGCAGCACCTGCCCAGTGCTACCTGGTGTAGCACCTCTGCCAGCTGAAGATCTGGAGGTCACAGGCAGCAGACGCAGCCTCTCTCTTCTGCAGGGCGCCCCTCCTGCGCCGATGCAGCCCCTTCATCCTCTCTTCCGCATGGAAGAACTCCGCGACAACCCTGAAGTACTCCAGCGTCACCTCGTGGCTCCAGGAGCAGGGCCCTTCCTTCAGGAAGCCGCAGTGCCCGCCGTGCGGTGTCAGCAGGAGGAAGAAATAGGGGCTGCTGTGGAAGAGCTCCATGGGCAGGGTGCTGGCTGGAGGCCCCCTCACCGGGTCGTCGGCGCTGCAGATGCACAAGACCGGGACGGCCACCTCGTCCACGTCCCGCAGGGGGTCGTTGCGATCCCAATAACCCTGCCAGCTGACAGGGTGCCGCTTGGTCTGGCAGAAGAGGGTTTCCTCGAATTCCCGCAGCGAGCGGCTCCTGAACAGCCTGGCTGTGTCTACCACCTCAGCCAGCGCCGTGGCATACCTAGGAGGCACAAACCCAACAGGGCGTGGCGCATGTGGCAGTCGCCAGCACCTCGCTGCCCCCTGCTGGATGCTTTCCAAGTTCTCCCATCTCATACTCGGGACCCCATGGCTAACGGCTGCCATAGCTAGCTAGTGGCACTGCCTGACCAGGCTCCTGGGGGAGATCCGCCTGAAGCCACAACGTGGCAGGGAGGGTGCGTGGTACCGTGGGGATGGGCACTGAACTGTCGTGTCCTCGTGCTGCATTTCTGACCCACCCCAGTCTGCATCAGACCTCTGAACTCGGCGTGCTCCCTGGGTGCCAGCCAGGGGAGCTGGGCGCAGGGCACACTGCCTGCAGCCCACCCCCCACAGGTACAGCCGGCTAGTGCCGTTGACTGCATCTGCGTTGGTGGTCCCTGCCTGCGGCCAGGGCCGGCCTGAGGCTCTGTGGGCCCTTCCCTGCTGCAGATGGGGCCATGGTGCCGCAGTGTCTCGCTGCCTTGTCATTTGGGTGGCTGGGTTGGAAACCATAGCGACGGAGAATCCTAGCACCTGGCCTCCTGTGCGGCTCTGGTTGCCATGACAGCAGGAGGAGGCTGCCACAGCATGTCAGTGCGGGAGGCCCCAGGGTGCGTACGGCACCCAGTGCGCTACCCCTATGGGCTGGGCCCCCCGGCGCTGCAGTGCCCAGCTGCCAGCTCCCATGCTCGAAGCGCAGGCCCAGGCACCCGGCACAGACTCCTGTTGCCAGTAACTATCCGGAGCGGGAGATGTCCCCTTGGGCCATGGTGCAGAGCGTTTCCTCCCTCACTCCCCAGGGCCTCTGGCAGCCCGGTGCCCCACCCATCTCCAGGCTGTGATGCATCTCCCTAGCCAGGAGCAGGGGTCACGCTGGGTAAGGAGCTGCAAACAGGCAGCATTAGCCCAAACGAGGTGTCCCTGGCAGCAGCCTGGTCCTGCTGCTGCCCTGCAGCTCCTTGCCTTGACTTGCCGGAAGGGAGGGTTTGGAGAGGCCTGGCTGGGGTGTCTGCCCCTACCCAGCCCATCCAGGGCCGCCTATGCACACTGTTTGCCAAGTGACTGTCAGGGGTATGGACACTGCAGTAGAGGTGTCCAGCTGTCTTACACCTGTAGGGCAACTCCCCTGCCCAGATGCGGGACTCCCCCCCCCCCCCCCCCCCTCGCTCTCTCGCCCAAAAACCACCACACC